CCCCAAAACCCCAAAACCCCATGAAGCAAAATAAATAGAATATTAAAGATTTATAAAATTATTATAATTCAAAATGATTACAATTTGTCTTTGATTTCTATTAATTTAGCTTATGCACTCTATTTCTTAGAATTATAGCTTCAAAAGATTCATTGCAAAAAATTGAGTAAATCTTTAAATTGAGAACTCATTACTGACACTCTAGCATCATTTCTTGATAAGCCTGAACCAGTTTTAATATAATTTTGGACAAAAGCCTCAATAAAATATATGGTTTATGAGAATACTAGGTTTAGAGCAACAATTAGCCAATAAACAGGAGAAGAGGGGTCTGCATCAAAGTAAGGGCTAAATCCTTGGAATTCTTTAGCAGCATATTGCAGATATAAATAGCTTCCCATCGTCCATAGAATCCTCTACCAGCCTGTTTTGTAGTTAAATACTATTGAATTATAAATTGCCTCTATGATAATCATAACTATTGGAACGCCGTGCATGAAAATAGTAGCTTAGTAAGATGAGAAAAGTTTCCAATCAAATTTCATATAAGGAAATAAGAACGACCAGTAATAAAAGGCAATAAATCCTTCTAATGCGAAGCATATTTCAAAGGCAGCCTTGGCCATCTTATCAAAGACCGGATCATAATCTGGTTTGAAATGAGCTACCATAAGCAATAGATGTGTACCAATACTGACACCTACCCCCCATGCTGATAAATAAAATGGGAAATATCCTACCCCCATTATCCAAAGGGAATTTCCTGCAAGTATTAAGTCTAGTATAAACATAATTATCCTAAACTTTTTGAATTTATCCTGAGTCATCCATTTAAAGAAAGGCTAAGTCACAGGTACATCTGTTGCCGCAGTTCTAGAAGCTTATAAAATTAGTTATTGAACTGCCTGAGGTTAAAATATAGAAAGTGTCTCCATATAAATTTATATTTAGCAATTTTTGAATTATTATATTTGAATCCTAAAATTAAATCTATTTTCAAGGGGTTTTGGGGTTTTGGGG